TACTCTTCTTTGCTTATTGTTTTATCATGTGGTTTCTGGCTTAAATAGTCATTTTTTTCCAGTTTTTAGGCTTTATTTCGTTTAAGAAATGTTCTTGAAAGGCTGCTTGTGTTTAGACATTCAATATTTGAGAAGTTGGGTTCTTTTTGTGAAATAAGGTTTTTGTAGAAACGCACAGTTATATTCCTCAAAGTAAGCTATCGAAAAACAGACATCCTTTAATTACATGTTTTGACCTTTAAACTTCTCAGATTGTCTTATTTCAGTACATTTCTGAGAGCCAAAAAGGTAAAACTCACAACAAAGCAGATTGGAGAAGAGCCCTCAGCAGAATATTCTCTTATTTTTTTCTCTTCCAGTAAGGATCTCATGAACCTCTCGGATTTATTCTGTGACCTACTGGAGGTTGTTCTTGAGCTCCAGGTTGGGAGTCGCTGACGTAGGACGGCTAACCCTGCAGCCAGAGAATGGATGGCATTTATGCTTGAAGAATGAGTAATTGATTGAATAGTTAGTTTAGTTTTTCACCAATTCATCTGCCATGTGGCTCTATACTCGGCCCTATTCAGACAGATCATCTTTAGCCGGGTTGCATTTTCCTGAGGCCTGAAATTCTGAACACTTGTCTGGTTTGTTCAGACATTAGCTTGACTCTAAAAATATTGTTTGTGGCCTTGGAAACCTCTGTAGTCTATGCTTGGACAGCGTAAGGGTTCTAGTCTCTACCCTGCTGACATGCCCTTGAGCAACGCATCGAATCATTCCAGGTGTAGGGCCTTGACTCTGACCTGCCTTTTGGAGTGGGACATGTGAGAAAAGGTTTAGAATGTCTTCAGACCACCGTGGGCAGAGAAACCCTGTCTGAAGCGGCCTGCTCTGGGTTCCACTGCTCGGGGATTTCACAGTCCTGACTCCAGCCCCACACTGTATACTTGTCCAGCAAACAGGGAGAGGCGTTGCCATGACATTACCATGGCTGCCCACTCTCAAACAGACATTCCTGCTGCGTGTCAGAGCAGCAGCAGCAGCAGCAGGAGGAGGAGGAGGAGGAGGAGGAAAGCTGCAGCACTTGTTATATCGCCAATTCCTTTTTCGGTCAAAGTGTGGCTTGAACTTGCTGAACAGCCCACCCAATTTAGAACATGAAGTGTGTTGGGGAAGGCAGGGCAGCCATGTTGCTAAAATTAGGCTCTGAGCAGAGACTGGGAGGAGGGCTGTGCCCAGCCCGAACTGGATCCAATGTGGTCTCGCATCGTCGGTCTAAGATAGGGAAACTTCTGTCTTCCATAAATATAGGAGGAACTTGTGACTAGATATCTCGGTAGAAATATGAGGTCGAGGTTGAGTTGAACAGCTCTTGCCTTTTTTATAGATGCCGGCTCGTAAAATTTAATAGGACTTGACCTGTGTAGAGGATGCCTTCTTGTGCCTGTTAAAAGTGCACATACCTTCACGTGTGTACACGGTCACATTATGTTCAAGCTAGTTAGTTACAGTCTCTTTTACGCCCGATATGTGAGAAGTTGGTCATTGCATCAGTGGCTACATGAGCATAGATACTATAGGGGAAATGATAAAGTGTGTGTGTGTGTGTGTGTGTGTGTGTGTGTGTGTGTGTGTGTGTGTGTGTGTGTGTGTGTGTGTGTGTGTGTGTGTGTGTGTGTGTGTGTGTGTGTGTGAGAGAAGAAAAAGTGTTTTTAAAGACACCACTTGCTGACTGAGGTCTCATTGTTCCGTTGCGGGATCACGCCGTCCTGGACACAACCTCCTAGATAACATCCGACTTGAGCATGACTCACACCCTCCACTGGGCAGCTGTGTGTGTGTGGCAATACATAAGCAAGCATCTGTTGACTCACGGTCCCTCCATTGAGCCTAAATAAAGCTTGAGTCTGTTGGCAGTAGTCAGCTGCTGCTTCGGTGCCCCAGACGTTATTATAACCGCTTCACATTGGAGGAAATCACTGTACAAATCTCTGTGAAAGATGGTGTAACCGTCTGCAAGATGGGAGTCATTCTTGACCAAAAAAAGTGTTCCCGTCAATGCTGCTTGTATTTGTAATCATACTGCTTTACTTCTCGTGGAGTAAGGGGAACTTTTTCAACTGACATGCTTTGCCTTATAAGGGTCCGCTTGAAATTCCAAGTGTTTATTTTTATTGGGGTGTTTTTTTCCCCCCCCTTGCTAACCAGTGATGACGTACCTAGAACTGTACAAACAGTAAGGGCTTTGTGTTGTTGCTGAAGGTTGAATGTCGCACTGTAATAGTGGCCGTCTGGAAAGTGTGAGTAGGGTGGAGGAGAGCAATGCTTGGAGGGGTGTCCTTCATACTCGTTTGTGGGTCATAGGCTTCATGTCATGTTGTTTTGATTTTCATCGTCTAAGGTGCTTCTTTGAAACGTTATTTAGCACAATTATTGCTGACCGCCTCCTCACTTGAGTCTTTAATTAGGCAGCGGAAACGCAGCTCCAACAGCATCATCACGTAAAATAAACAACGCACCCTCTTCTTCGGTGGGAGTAACAGGACATTTCTGGAATAGTCCCCCCACCACCGTCCCTCCCTGACTCCACCGAGAGGCCCAGGATAAGGGGGAGAGAAGGAGGAGGAGGAAGAAATGAGCAGCATGCCAAAGAAGCACACAGCCACTAGCTTGCTGTCTTTTTGCTTCCTCCCTCTTAAAGCATCCATTACCGCCTGCTCCCCTACACGTCTGTGATACCTCGATTCCTTCCTATTTGCTCTAATAGCTCTCTCTAGCTTGTTCGTCCCTCCCTCTCTCTCTCTGCAGCAGATCCCTACCGCCGGTGTCTTTGGCAGAGAGCCGCAGTCCGCTCCGCTGCAGAGAGAGAAAGCAAAGATTGAAATGTCTTCCTCAGCTGCTGCTGCGGCCTTTTCTTCTTGGCCACTTGAGACGCAGAACTGTCATTGTGTTGAAGTACAGTGAACGGCTTTTGATTTTCAAATGACATGGCGTCGTGTGGTTTGAATTTTCTGTCCCTAAAGAAAGGGGGAGCTCACCTGTGAGCTGGTAATCATCCCCCCCCCCCCCCCCGCCCCACACACACACACACACGTCTGTCTATCGCCATGGGAACAGTCGCTGCGCTGCATCGCCACCCTCAGTTCAGCACTGAATGGCTCTCTGTAGGTGCAGCGATGTAGGGAAAAATGGGAGTAATCATCCCATTGGTGTCTATCTGATCCGCTAAGGATCAGCTAATGCCAGTCTTGTGTTGTGATGGCCATGAACCATGACACCCCCGACACTTCATGGCCAAAGCTTTATTTTAGAATTGAATCATGTAAGGTAAAGGCGGGGGGGGGGGGGGCTCTTTCATTTGCCGAACAAAGGCAGTGATCTAATCCAAGCTTTTCACATATTGAATTCAGAAGGGGTTGGGCAGAGGGAGAGGATGGTACAATGGGAGCCAGAAGGCAGATCAAACAGAGCCGTCACACGGAGGCCAACAGCAGCCAGCCTGTCCGCACCAGCAAGGAGCCGCTGGACTCACTGAACACAAAGTCCACCATTGAATCTGCATCTCTGATATTAATCAAATATATTCTGTTCAGATAATGCTCCAGCTCAAACTGATTTGAATCTTTTATTTATTTATTTATTTTATTCAGCACTCTTTGCAAGTCTGTGTGAAAACACAGTTGATTTGTGTTCCTCCTTTGCATTACTCGTATAGTCCCGCTTTGCATGTCACCTCTGCAGGACAGACGCAGAAGGGAATGAGGAGTGACTGACCACAAAAACAAAACGATGTTCAGCCGTTTGGCAGAAGCTCTGCTACGGTAACGTGCTGAATGGAGAGCTGCATTCCAGAGCACCGATACTTGAATAACCTCCACGCTTGTCCGTGTGAATAGATGAATACGGTGCCTTCTTCATTGGCCTGGACAATGGCACACCTTGACAGGCACGTAGCTCTGTGTCGAGTCCATCATGAAGGTTGTGGCACGTCGGGTGTATTATTTGTTAATGAAAAGCGGCAAATGACTGATTTCAGTCTCACAGTGATTTCTCAATTTTTTTTTTTTTGCCATTATGTGGTTTCATTAAAAAATGAAATGGGTGTTCTTGGAGCGGACGTTATTGTTGCGCCAAACAGATGTCATTAAGATACCGTGCAAAGGTTAGTGAGATAAATGAAATGCTTATTCTTCCCTCCCTCTACACGCTGCTCGTACATGGCTGTGAGTTGAGCAAAGTGAGGGATGATTTAGTGAGTTGGAGAGAGACGGGAGTGGGCGCTATGAAGAGATGGAGGGTTGTTGGGACGACCGGAGAGATCTCTGTTTGCAGCACCCTCCCGTAGCCTCCCTGTTAACTGCTTTGAGTGCGATAGCGAGACAGAAATCACCGCTATTCTTGCTTTTTTTTTTTTTTCATCAGAAAACTAGCATGTTGTGTTTCCAATGTTTGAAATCTCTTCCTCAAAAGACTTGCGCGCCACTTCCGTTGATGCCATTCCCAGCTGCTCAACCTTGTGTTTGTGCAGTCTAGCGAAAAGAGGAAACAAGAGGCGGTCGCAGTCTTGATCCCTCCACAGGTGTCCTCTTACTCTTGGGACAGTTTTGCACATTAATGGAGGGGGGGAGGGGAGAGTGTGCTGAAGTATTTAAAACGAGGAGGGTTTACTCTCTCCATGCTTTACCTCCTACTTAGAGTCTTTTCGAGGGCAGCCTGTAATGTGTATGAAGGAGTCATTGTCTGAAACGGGCCTTCTTCGGGGTAAAACGCCCTGGGCCGTAAAGGTTGTGCAACAGAGATGAGGTTTCTATCAAGATTGTCGGTGGTAGAAACCTATTGCAGATGTTTTTTAAGGTCGTTGTGTGCTATCTTGTGTTTTATGCTTGCAATAATTACATCCCCCCGTAAGATAAAAACTGGTGCCTTCCAGTCGTTGGGAACAGTGCCTGCAATATAGTGCTGATAGTTAATCTACTCCCGTTCTAACCTTCTTTCTGTCTGTGTGCTTACCGAAGGCGGGAAGTGATGGCGAGAGCATCGGGAACTGCCCCTTCTCCCAGAGACTCTTCATGATCCTGTGGCTCAAAGGAGTCGTCTTCAACGTCACCACGGTGGACCTCAAGAGGTAAGTCCTCATCTTCCTTATCTTCCTTTTAAAAAAGGCTCCTCCTTCTTGATGGCGTCCTAGGTCTTTATCTGGGCATTTCCTCAAAGGCCTTAGCGGCTCTGTAACGCCTTGATCCAGCCCCACCTCTGACACGCTCGCTTCATCCCCGCTGCTTATTTGGTTTTCCCATGACCCTTTTCTCAGGCCGGGGGCAAATCAGAGGAAAATAAACATACTGACTCTGGAGAGGCTATTTAAGGTTCTTTCTCCGCTCACTTCCTGTCTAGATTTTGGTGGGTTATTTTTCGTCCTACAGGCATCAGAAAACGCGGATCCTCTGTAATTCCGACCGCTAGAGATTGGTTTCCACATGCGAATGCCAGTACCGGAGGCTCTTTAAAAAAAACCTATGCTAGTGTCTGTGTGTGTGATTCATCTAAATGTTTTCCACTTGCTAAGGCAGGACAGGCAAGTGCCGGATTGTTTTTCAGACGTGGTCATGATGGTCGTCTGCTTTTATATGGTCCGTCTTCGTCACGTGCCTTTTTTTGACTCAGAGATTCAAGATTTCTGTCATCTTGTTCCAAAGCCTGCCTCGTCCGTGTGACAGCCGGTTCCTCGCCGGGCGTCTCCTCCTCTGAGACACGGAGACAACTGGTTGCTGGCAAAACACAACGGAGATGTACTTGATAAATACCGGGCCTCTTTTGTACAGCTAAAAGAAGGAAAGCAGTGTCCATTTGACTAGACATTTGGTCTTCATACATGCCTGCACGTTCAAGACGAGCGCATAGGGTTGGCTGTATTTGCATATAGATTTTCCCTAACAGAGAGTAACATAAAACAGAGCTGGCTGATATCCTGTAAAGAGCAATGTGGGATGTCCTCCTACTGAGCAGAGTCTGTTCCCCTTCACTCCTCAAACTAACCTTTTTGTTCAGCCGGCGTGTCTACTTTATTTTTTTATTTCTCTCCAGAGGAACAAGTGATCCAGGCTTTGTCTTGTCCCTGCTGTATTGTGTCTGTAACCTTGAGTAAACATAAAGCGTCTGTGTAAAAGAAGGCGTGTGTTTAGTGTTGTATTTAAATAGGACAACGGCGCACGTTGTTACTCCTGTAGAAGGACATGAATGTCACATGTCGCTGCCATAAGGCGAAATGACGTCTTCTCAAGGCTATCGTGTTAATATTTGTTTCTGCGATGAAAACCTGTTAACCTCAAGGCAGTTTGTTGCCCAATGAGTGATGTCAACGGGTGAGGTTGCCACTTCCCCTCCGCATGCCAAAGAGTCAAAGTCATTTCCCGTTTTTTGGTTCCATCGGATGACTTTTCCCAAAGCTCGGCCACCGTTGGGATCGTCGTCATAACCAAAAACCTGGCCCATTTTGAAAAGTCTCTATGATTACATGTTGTTGCTGGTTCTAAGAGTAGCCACGCTGGCTAACCCCAAATCTGTTTGTCTCTAACGGACACGGCCGTGTGTTATGTTGTCTTCGTGCTGGAGGGATTTGAGCGTCTGTTGTGTTCACGCTGCTCATTCAACACATGCTCGTTTTTGTTTGTGTGTGCCAGAGACATCTGGTACAAAATGTGCTGGTTTCAAGGCCGCAGAGAGAAAGAGACTCACGAACCCACTCACCGAGATACAAGAGCACGCACACGACTGCTTTTACTATTAGATCCACACGCGTCATAAACGTGTTTATGTTGGCTTTGACGTCTCTCTTCCAGGAAGCCAGCAGACCTCCAGAACCTGGCCCCGGGCACACACCCCCCCTTCATCACCTTCAACGGCGAGGTCAAAACCGACGTCAACAAGATCGAGGAGTTCCTCGAGGATGTCCTCTCTCCGCCCAAGTGAGTGCTTTCTCATCGGCGTGGCAACGCGTTGACACACTGCCTTCATGTGCACGCTGTTATTTTAAATGCTCTGTCAGCAATGGGATTTAAATGTTTCACTTAAGGCATAAGGCTTGTATTCTATCATTTTCTTATTGCCACACAATCTCATGAAAATGTGTCGATTCCTCACACCATCTTTCTGACTTAAAATAGGTCACAAATGTATACTTACTTTTTTTTTTTTTAAAGCTGGATAATTGGCCTAAAACAGCTGGGCCTTTATAGTTTTTAGAAAATATTACTCAAATAGGAGTAATTGCATGTGCTGAGAGCTATTTTCATCTGTGAAAAAGGACATTACCAGAATTATCCTTTAACCACCACATAAATACATATACTGTATACATGTATAATGTGTGTGTGTATTTACTTGTTTGTGTGCAGGTACATGAAGCTTGGTGCAAGGCACCCAGAGTCAAACACAACTGGTATGGACATCTTCGCCAAGTTTTCAGCCTTCATTAAGAACTCAAAACCAGATACAAATGAGGGTAAGTTACCTGTATATGTATGTCACACACACACACACACACGGTTGATCGGGTACACTTGTTACGAGCATAGATCCAGAAACCTTCCAGTTGTGTTGGGAGAGCTGTCCGGTTGCTAGGCGACATTGGTAGCCCTGCCCTGATTGGTGGTTTACGGCCTCACACATGAACACAGAGCTTTTGTTCCTCTTGTCCTCGCGCTCCCCGTCTCACCTGCTGGAGCGCTCTGGAAAACCGCAGAGCAGCTAACCTGCCTAGCGCTCACTATCTCATCCCGGACCCCGCTGTAAGAGAGGGAGGGGCTCATGTCACAAACACGAATATGCAGTCTATTGTCTCGTAGATTCTGTGGCATTAGTGGTATTCACAAAATACCAAGATTCTGTATCATGTTTTTAGCCGTCTTCTCTCCACCCTGGGAAAATATCGAACCGTGGTGAGCTGGAAGTGAAAACCAAGGCTGTGTCAACAGTAGTTTGATGCTGAATCTCATGGTTCAATGATAAGTGCTCTCCAACACAACAGGTCAGGTCTGCTGGTGCATGACCTGCTGGCACATTCATGTCATATTTCACAACAATAGAATGAATTGTTTAATGAACGATCCCTAGATGGATGGAGATGGGGTGAGGAGGACAAAGTGTAACACCTGTGCAATGAAATGCCAACCATTGAAATGTGTGGTGTGTGTAATAAGCTTTGAATACAATGTGTTACAGCAGCGCATCATTGTAGGTGCCTATGACTTGTGTGCTTTCTGCATTTATAATGTACACAGTACAGTGTACATGCACACAATGGCTCGTCTCTTGATGAAATGCTGCCCCCATGTGGTCAGACAGCATATGATGCAGTGGGAAGCCTCAGGAAAAGCCTGGATAATTTAACACTGCTTAAAGATGATTTGCTCATACCGTATATACTATGTATGTATGTATGTATGTATGTATGTATGTAAGTAATATCTCGTGTCTCCTTGCAGCTCTGGAGCGCGGCCTCCTGAAGACGCTGCAGAAGCTGGACGAGTATCTCCGCTCACCGCTGCCCGACGAGATCGACCACAACAGCATTGAGGACGTCAAGGTCTCCGACCGCAAGTTCCTGGACGGTGACGAGATGACCCTGGCTGACTGTAACCTGCTGCCCAAGCTGCATATAGTCAAGGTGAGCCAGGGAGTGTTTTTAAAACATCGCTGAATCGTCTTATCGTGTTATGCAGGGTCTCCAAAGGGCACGAGGTCACCAAACTTCCTGAAACGATAAGAATAATAAATAACAGGTGCAGCAAAACAAAGGAGGGTCAGTGAGATATCAGTCGATCAAGATCAAGTCGTTGCACTCCCACATGCTCCAGGGAATGAGTTTAATTTGACAAAATAACTGTCTTTTTTATTAATTATTTGGTTTGTATTAATAAAAAATGGCCATCACAATTTCTCTGTTTCCTAGTTGATGCCATCAAACACCTTGTTTTCTCCGACTAACAGTCCAACACTCAGAGGTTCAGTTCACCATCATGACGATGAAGAAAAGCAGCAAATGTCTGTACTTTAGGAAATAAAGTAATTTCTTGACATCTTTTCTTTTGCATCCCGGTGCTTCACAAGGACCGACTGGTCTTATGTCTCTGGTGCTCTTGAGGTTTCTAACAGAACTCGTTGCTCACTTGGTGACGCGTCTCTAACGTCTGATACCTTTTGTCTCCAGGTGGTGGCCAAGAAGTACAGAGGCTTTGACATCCCCAAAGAGATGACGGCCATCTGGAAGTACCTGAACATCGCCTACACGCACGAGGAGTTCACCAACACCTGCCCCAGTGACAAAGAGATCGAGATAGCTTACGGAGACGTAGCCAAGAGGCTGGTCAAATAAGCTCCTCCCTCCATCCCTCACCCCTGTCACCCCCCCCACCCCCCACCTCTCTCCACACTCCCCTCCACCGAGATGCTCTTTCACGAGAACGAAAAAAAAACTCTGGACTTCTTTTCCTTCTCTCCTCATCTAGAGCGAACCCCCAGAAATGCATGAACCCTTTTTTTTTTTTTTTTTTTTTTTTTTTTTTTAGTTGATTCAGCAAAAAGGTCCCCGTTGTTCCACCTTTATTCCTCATTTATTTCCTTTTGTTTTTTGTTTGCCGCAGAATGTCATGAGGCGGAGAAGAAGCAGCCAGACGTGTGTATCAGTGCTTATCAGTGTCGGCGGGGGGGGGGGGGCCCCTCGTCAAACACACTCCCTGATAAGCACAGGGGGGCAAGGTCACAAGCTGCTGTTGATTTTTCTTTTTTCTTCTGTTGTATGTTGAATCGCTCGTTTCTAGCATTGCTTTAAATGGAGAACCGAGCTTTGGGCGTATTAAGAGGCATTGCAAACAGTGTTGAAGCTTCAGTGTTTTTTTTTTTTTTTGGGCTCAAGTATTCGGCAGGTTTCAGCCGGAGCTGATCCAAACGTGATTTGGTCGACGTATCATGCGAGAGATGCTTTATTTCAATGTCGAGCTGCTTAAGATAAATCGAAACAATTGTAACGGCAGTTAAAGCTACCTGTTATCCCGGCTCTGATTTCCTCATTGTCTCCAGTAGCTCAGCTCAGCAGAATTGTAAGGGAAGTTTCCGGTAGCCTCTGCAGAAGTAACGACTCAGGACAAATCTGAATTATCCCACCGTATGTAGCGCACAGATTTTGAAGGTTGTGTAGATGTCTGTGGCCTTTTGTCCCGTCGCCACAGCCAAACTGGCCGATCTTTTCTTCTCTCGTGAAAGCACGAAGGAAAGTCTTTTGGTCGTGCGGTTTAGATCACACGTGGCAGACCCAAAAAAAATACTGGTCTCGCTGTGGATAGGATGACTCCAGCTATGTAAACAAAGAAACCATACACTCATTGTGTCCCCCACTCCATAGCATACAGGATGAAGGACACCATGTGCAGTCAGGCACCAGGAAAGGGTATACGAAATCTATTTATGCCTAAAGGACTGTAGGAGAGGGAGTGAAGAACGAAGACCTTCCTCTTCAGTGTCTCTGTGGTAGTGAGTCTATGTTGTGATACTGTAGCTCCAGAAGTGCTTTAGTGCAGACTAAGCAAAACCTGTTTTCTCCCGTTTTTTATATATATATATATATATATATATATATATATATATATTTTTCTCCAGACATTTGTTATGAAACAAATTTGATTTAAAAAAAAAAAGGAATTGTAAATATTTGTTTTGATTGCTCAGAATTCAATGTGTAAATTTTATACATTTCATGTGACTCTTGAGGAATACGGGCTACTTTCTTGCCTGCTTTGATTTTAAATCTCGATAAACCTTACTCCTATTTGCCTTACTTGTGTTTCTCTCTGCGGATGTTTTGCAGGACGGTTTTTCAGAGATCAGTTCATTGCAACAGTTGTGATGTTGTACGAAGAAAATATCCAAGCTATATATCATGGCTCTTTTTTTTAACAATATTGACTGAATTGAAATAAACATATTGGCACTCTGACATTTGTGTTGTGTTGGCGGTCTTGTCTTTTACTTGAAGAGATTGGGTTGCCTTTGGTCCTCGATGGTATTTACGGCCTCCATGTTTTTAGATTAGTGTTCTTATCCCATAACAAAGACCTAACAGCCAAGACCTTAAGGCGTATAGTGGTGAAAACGAGGCTACTTTGACCTGAGTCATCATGTATGTTATCGCTCCGGTGGCTCATAAGCAGCCTTTATTAGTCTTTAACTTCTTTACAGTTAAGCTTGAAGGTTCTTTCTTGACCGTGAAAACAACACTTTGACAACTTCCTTGTTTCCAAAACTTTTAACCGTATCTCGTAGCCCTTCAGGCCTCAATTGTTTTATTATTCATAATCAAAATGTCTTCAGTGGGGGGAAAAAAAAGGCATATTGCACCTACCCAAGTGTAATTGATGTAACATTTAGCATTGATTGATATAGAAGTTACATGAATTTCATTGTCACAAATCAGGTTTTTACCAGCTTTAGGACCAATTATGAAAATGGCAAAAAAGCAGAATTTATAATGTATTTTTTTGTTTCGTTTAAACAGATCTGTCAGTTTTACAGGGGCAATCCATATTCGGACCTTTCTTACCTTCAGCATAAACATGGTCCAAGTATTCCGCAGAAGACAAGGAAGTCTATTATTTTACTCTTTAAAGGTCAAATCAATTGAACAATTAATGTAGGGGTATGTATCATCCGAATAAAAAAACAAAAAAAAAAAAAAAAACCTTATTAGGTTTCTTGCTTTACTTGCTAATCACTGATACAGCAATACAGAAAAGTTTGGGAACTCCTAGGCCAAAACACGTTTGTTTACAGCTCTCTCCCTCTCCAAGGAATGTCCCACGTGGGTGTCCACCCGCTGTGGGCTCCGCCTTCCCCGTGAAGACGCCCTCTGGCTGTCGGCTCCATCGTGTTTTTCAGCCAGTTCCCTACTGTTCTGATACACAAACAAGTCTGTTCTGCGAGGCCGATTGCAGCCAAGTTTTGCAAGAGTTTTAAGGGAGAAAAAAAAAAAAAGTATGGAGGCGTACAGTTTTTGGATGCTCTCCAGATAATTAAAGTGTCACGTTTCAACCACAGACATTCGCTACTCCCTTACTGGTGAACACGCAGACACGGTTTCCACTTGAAATTCACAGGGAAGAAAATTCACCCATAAGCAACCAGACAGATCTGTGTGTGTGTGTGTGTGTGTGTGTGTGTGAGTGTGAGAGAGAGAGGTAAGAGAAGACAACAAGGCTGGCTATCATTCAGACCACACACATTACAAGCAGGGTGAGTGTATTAGTGTAATTGGGTAATGAAGGTGAGGGCAGGAGGGGCTGAGTATTGTTTCTCAAACATGTTTTTTGTGTGTGTGTGTAAAGAGCAGGGCTATATTACACACCATGAGAGGGAGCCAACAAGTCAGCTAAACTCACATGCAGGTTACAGTCACAGTTGCCTCCCTGGGTTTTTCTTTGTTGGGATGCGAAAACATGGAGTGCAATTTCTTTACCCTTGACATACATTCATTGCCATCAACCAGTTGTGTATTTTCCTGCTGCTCAATATGCTCAGTGGAGCCTTTTTTTTCAATTTGGCATTGACTCTTTCGCTGCAGTGCCAGTTCAGTTTGCCGGTTTTACACAACACCCATTTATACAGCTGGCTAAATATTGACACTGGTAAAGTAGCTCGCTCAAGGGTACACAGTGATATCCCATCTGGGTTTTGGAGCTACAATGTTTGAAAACCCTTATTTGCATATGGACTCTGTGCACCTGACATTTGATGTGGCTGCATGGTGTTGTGTTTAGGTTTACCCTGTTGACCGATGGCACACAAGGATACATGTAGAAAATTCATGGCTGCAAGTATATCGGGATTCTCTCCGTTTGAAAATAATATCTTATGATGTGAACTATCGTTTAATTTTTAATTTGCACATAATATTCCATTCATACACGTTATCTAACCTCCATCGTTACAGCTAAATTAAGGGAAAGGATGAATGTTATTGTCACTGACAGTTTTCAAAGTTTATACTGTGGGCAAGGCCTGATATTATCAGTTTAATACTGTATGTGAGCCTCAATAGCCCTCAGGCTGGACTTTATAGTGGTTCTGCTACAATACTTTTCAGTAGGTGTGCACATACATAAATCTTACATTTTATTATGATAATTACATCATAAAAAAGAAGCTCTTGAAGGCTAAGATAATTATAAGGCAGTGCTTACCAGCCTTTTTACGACACCTTATAACAAAGCAAAGTCAAACCCAATGTCAGTCACATATGTCTACGGATTATGACCAGCTCTAACAAAGGGTACTTTTTATTAAAGAGTGAGTTTTATTTGAAAATATTGGACTTTATGATGTTATTAGTCGATTCACGAGAAAGACACAAAGATAAGGACACATAGCTGTAAAAATGAAAAGATTCTTTTGTGACCCCTCAGATTTATCCTGTGACACGTTGTGGGGCCCCGACCCCCAGGTTTGGAACCAAATGCCCATAAGGTGACATTAAGCCCTGATATTATGTGGTGAGTTGCATATCATGGTGGTAATAATTATATGGCCACGAAAGCATTGTTAATTTTGCAGCTAGGCCTACAACATTCAACGAATTAAAATGTTAATTAGCAAATTAGTGGTGTCAAGCAGCCAGAAGCCAAAGCGTGGGCTTCATGGCCCACCGTGAAGCCCTTTGAAAGAGTTTGTAGCTGTCAAAACACAGTGTAAGACAGTGCACTTGTGTGACTTGTAAATTAAGTGTTACATTAATAATGGCTGCATTCCACTCAATTGTTCTCAACACTTTCTGCTCAGTGGCAGGCAGGATACTGGCACACTGAAATGGAACCAGCCAGTAATTAATGTCATTAGTTCCACATCATAATGTTTGCTGGTGAGAAAGGGCTACAAAAAGATTAAAAAACAATTGATATGACAACACTGTAATTGCATTCGTGGCTGCCCGCCACAGTAGCTCGTTAATATTCAATAAATAGCTGCTGTGTGTGTGTGTGTGTGTGTGTGTGTGTGTTAGTGTCCACACTAGTGTGTGAATTAGTGGGCGCGTTAGCTAATGAGCCAATCAGAGCCTGGCAGTGAAACACAGCGGCTGCCCGGTCTGGCACGAGACCACTCTGTGTGTCGTTTTGCGTGTGTTTGCTGGCTAACTTCAAGCATGTCTGCTACAGTGCCGCGAGCCTCACCGCCCCCACAATGACTCCCGTGCCCTTTATCTGCTCCTCGCGTCTTCAGCAACGTTGGCCCTTCTTCAGCAAATATGTTGGCGTCCGCTCGCGACTCTCAAAACACTCCGTCGTCTGTGACTTGTTAGCGCGAGCGCCGAGGCCTGTGTCGACGCTCCGAAAAGGTGCGCTTCTCTTGCCAAACTTCTTCACGTCGCAGCACAAGCTGTCATTAACCCATCATCCCGTTCAGTCTTTTTTGGCAGCAACACAAGGGGTTTTGTCCGGTAGGCATAAAGTTACGCATACGCGGGCCTATATATCTTGATAACTCTGGAAAATAAACACGTCAATATGCCGAAAGTGATGCAGAGTGGCACACTGGAGGAAAGCGTGAAACTCGATAATATTCTTATGTGTTTGGTATGTTTTTCAAACTGGGTTCAAAGGCAGTGAAGCTCAATAGTTTGGCAGTTTTTTCCGGTGTGAAGGCTTGAATATATGGTCCACGTGTGTGTATTAAAGGTTGAGTTCACCCAAATTACCTTAAACTATATTTTCTCAAATTAACGTCGATGCAATGCAGGAGACAAGAATCGTGTTTGTGGGGTCCATTGTTACTCTGGATAAGCCACAGAGCTGTAAACAGCAGTGGTGGAGAACGTCGTCATATTTTACTTAAATGTATGAGCAAAACCACCATACAGCTAGCCTGCTGTATCACAAGTAAAAGTCCTACATTTTAAATGTTAAAAGTACATATTTTTATCAGCAAAATGTTAAAAGTAAGTACTCGTAATGCAGGAAATGACCCCTGTGAGGGTCAAACTGTTATTATTGGTTTATTCTTACTGATGCTATAATGCATTAAGATGTTATTGTTCGTCCAAGTAAAGCTAATTTTGACTGTTTATATACTTTTGGGCACCTTGCTATATAACAGCGCATCAAATTGTACTCTAGTAAAGTACAAGTATCTAAAATTCAGTGCTCGAGTAAACACACTTGCATTCCACTGCTGGTGAGATTTTTTATGTGTGTTTTTCTTTGAGCAGCATATTTAAAATTCCTCTCCCTTCCTTTTGTGTCAGGGTAGACGCAGATGGGTATCTCCAAACCTTGGCAAAGGGAACCAAAACTACACGATTTGCATGGCTAGGTGCACGCAGCGC